TTTACGTATTATAGTTCTATTTTAATGCGTTAACAGATTATGTTAACATGCTACGTATTATAGTTAACATGTTAAATGAGAACTATATTAACGTGTATATGACCCGAAATAACAGTTAACAGATAATGGATTACAAATAACAGTTAACGGATAATGAATTATAGTTAACAGTTTACCGAATATAATTATCAATTTATCAATTAAAGTTAACATGCTACGTATTATAGTTAACAAGCGAACTGTGAAGGTTAACATGTTACCAGTGTAACTTAACAAACGAACAAAGAAAGTTAACATGTTTCTGATGATATTTACCAAATAAATTACAAAATGGAACATGTTATCTTGATCTCATGCAAAAAGGAACATGTTACTCAATACAGACTAAAATACTAATATCTATGTATCATCACACTCACACAACACTACTAGAATAATTTCAGTCTATTGTATAATTGGCGGTGCATCAGATACATTTGCGGCACAATGACTTCAAATCAGAGAACTAGAGGAGCAGTGATCTGATCTTCCATAGTCAACGAGACGCTGGCCCTCCAAAAAGTCAATCTATGAGTGATTGTCTGCTTCTTGATCAGCTAAACTCAACACCGTCTCGTCCATGCCTTCACGCCAGAGGAAGAATCCCGTCTCCAGACCTTTCGCCGCTACCTCCAAATCCCAACCGCTCACGGCCCACCCCAACCCCGACTACACCCCCTCAGTCTCCTTCCTCGTCTCCTCCCTCCCCTCCCTCCGCATCCAGACCCTGGAGCTCTCCCAATCCAAACCCTTCCTCCTCTCCCTCCCCGGCCTCGACCCCTCCCTCCTCAACTCCCACATTGACTCTGTCCCTGTCGACCCCCTCCACTGGTCCTACCCCCTTCTCCGCCCACTACGACCCCTCCGTCCCCGAATCCTAAACCCCCAAACTAATCTGTCAATCACCCAAAACAAAGCAAAAAAACACAAATTAGAACTCCTAAGATCTCCACCAACCTCATCAAAAACAACCCCACACTCGGCCGCGATCCCCTTAACCAACTCCGACGCCGACGGATAGGCCGCCAGAATCAGATCCCGACCCGCCCAAGGATTTGACAACGGGGAGAGAGTGGAGGGGAGGGGCTGACGTGGCGATGGAGGCGACGGAGATCTGCTCTATCTCGGGGGGATGGGGCGACGGGGGAGAGAACGGAACCCTCAAAACTCAAGAGGGGTAGACAGAGGAGGAGAAGAAGAAGAGGAAGAAGGGTAGCGATGGTGACGGCGGGGGCTACGACTGAGGATGGAGTCGACGAGGTCGAGGGGAGGCGGAGGTGGCGGCGGTGTTGGAGGTATCCAGCGAGGTTGGAGAGAGGGTGGAAGAGGAGATGAGAGGAGAAGGAGAAGATCTGAAGAAGAAGAAGAAGAAGAGGGTAGTTTGGGGTTTTTTTGAGAATTAATTCTCTTGGGAATTGTAAAAAGGACAGAATCACATTAACTTTTTATTTTTGGGGCTAATACACATAAAAAATAATACAGGGGGCTGAGACACATCAACTTTTTATTTAAGCAATTTTTCCTTAACTTTTTGAGGGAAGCAATGTTTTGTTGGCGTAAGAAAATACAATATGAATATTGGTTGGCGGGTCCCATTGTGAAGGTTTTTTTAGAGATTTAACATATTACTTTAGAAGAACATGGATAAAAATTATGACTTGGGAGAACATTAACGCTGCATAATTTTACCGTGGTTTTTTGTATAAAAAAAATGTATATTATTTGGATACTTTTTTTTATAAGAATTTGAAGAATATTTTAACCATTTGTATTTGTGATATATAATTGTATGTATACGTGTGGTATTCTACTTTTTCCCCCCCAATAAACGTGGTGTTGACCTCTTGTGTGAAGATGTCACGCGATATGAGAGGTCGCACGTTTCGTACTTTTGATTCTTCTCGTTCAAAACGTGGGTTGGGTTAGTTGTCATTCATTGAAAGGGAGAGAAGATGACAGTTAGCGTTTGTACAAATAATTAAACAACATGGTGCAGCCTGTAAATCAAAAAATAACACTTTTTTTTTTTTTTACAGTTTCAAATATTATGGACTCTTCTCTTTATTATACTGAAGAACATGTGATTTGTTACATCATGGTGGAATACTAGGTGGACCCAATGTTGGCTCAACAGTATGGGCTTTATAAAGGCGATTTACTAGTTTTCAGCAGGTTTCTTTCTTTTTTTTTAAATATTGTTTGCTTTGGTTTTTTATTTTGCGTAGTAAATATAATGCTAGTTCCTTTTAAATATAAAAAATAAAGATTCTCAGCATACGTAAAAGTGTTCTTTAAAAAAAATAAGTACTGAACGTGACAAAAAAAAAAGGATCACAAACGCACTATATAAAATAATATACACATCCACCATATTTTGCATAGATCCACTCAAATCGAAATGTGCTGTGTTCCACCTTGCGCTTATTTCCGACCTATTTATTGACTATTTGGCTGATAATTTTGGATTTTGAAATTCCATATTGTTGATGTCCGAGGTGTCAACAACGGGATTAGAGGTTAATCTCAAAAAACAGCGGGGTTTAGGATTGACATCAAAGATGTTAGGGGTTCCTTCATCCCTTTGGTGACAGATTATCCTACGGGAGGAGAGTATTGCAAAACCACAACACGTTAGAAGGTCGGAGTTGGGTTTTTTCTGGTGATCCCTTCGATGATCAAGTTAGTATTTAGCTTGAGTAGAGAAGAGGATCAATGAACTGAATAAGTTTTAAGTGTGCAGTTATTGTCTTTTTCAGCCAGAGGTTGCTTACCTAGGTTAGTAGGCGATGGGCCTATTTATACCCAATTGAGAGGGGGTGAATATGTAACTTTGGTCGAGTACAGGCAGACGGTTGAGTTCGTATATGTTTTATAGGTGTCAGCTGTAGATGAGATAAGTAATCTATGAGCTTGATGTGATGGCGACTGAGAAGGCGTGGTGCTGACGATGGGTGATGAGTCATGGAGACTATCATGGAATGAAGCAATGAAGATGCTGACTATCGCTAATGGGATGACATCCAGCTGTCAGTGAGGTGCTCGAGAACAAACCACCTCTCGACCCAGCTTTGTGAGTGGGCCGACAAGTACCTTTTTTTAGTCGGCCTCGAAAGTGGTCAACCCGGCATTATGGAGTGAAGAGGAGTAGGGTCGATTTGAATGGTGAGTCAAGTGAGAATGCTTCGTAGCTCGGTCCTCCTTAGGAAGGGATAAATGTTCACGCTATTCGAATCACTCTGACTAGGATTTTAGGATGAAATCGATCTGATGATTAGTTAGTATAAGACACGGATTAACACTTAGGTTCTATGGTGGCATAACACATAATTACAAATTTCAAATCCAACAAATTTTTTTCTTTCGTTATTTTATGTTTGGTTCCATCGGAAATTGATTATGAGGCAACTTTTCTCTTTTTCTTCAAAACATTGGGAGAAGAGAGATTCTAACACATAGTTTTTGCTCACGTCACAACAAGTTGCATCAGCTTTTTTCCTAAAAAATTCATCAAAACAAACATAAAATTTCAACCGGATATTTTGACTGTCATAAAATTCTTGGTATAGGATTCGCTTTAATATGTAATGTTAAGAAATTTTCATGAGTTGAACAGAGCGTAGAGGAATTTGTTACTAGAGTGGAGTATTAGGTGGACCCACCTAGTGTGGTCTCTATATTATGGGTCAAATTTGGCCATATTGATTAGCTTCCCACAAGGAAATCTATGTGGGGTTGAAGATATTTATGTGACGCCAAACTTAGTGAGAATGAATGTTCATTAAATTGCATGGCTTAATGTGGATTTGGGCTGGACTTGTGACAATCATTCAAACCCATGTTGGGTCCAATTTAATGCACATTGCCATGGAGACCGTAGACAGCTTTTTGGGAGAAAGATTTGGTTCCTTCTCTTTTGAAAGGTTAAAAATGTGAGATCTACTCATCAATTATGAGGAGCACCTTCTGCAGGACAATCATTTTTAGTTTTTGCCTTCCTTGTTAAGTGAGATGAGTGGCTCGGTTGGTTGGCACCATGAGCTTCTGAGGAGGGACGATACATTCGAATCTCCCCTCAGGTAATTAAATGCTTATTTGGTCGATGCCTGTCGCTTAACTTGAGCAGGAATTAGTCTTATCCAATAAAGTGGGAACACCTTGTGGCTAAGAACGCCCCTAAAAAAAAAAGGGAGAAAAAAAAGACAATAATAAATGGGGGTACAGTTCATTTTTTGTAAAGCAGTAGTTTTTCATTAGCTTTTAAACTCGCGGAAATCACGTGATGATCAAGGTAGACATTTATCAGTAACAAAGTCTAGCGGGAAAATGAAAAATAAGTGTTGTCAATGGGATCACCGGATCAGGGATGTACATGCTATAGGAGAATGTACATCTCCCACTGAGCCTAATTGTAAATGCCACGAAGCATGAATTTTACATGCAAGTTACATATTAACTTGAAAGTTTGAGCTCAACTAATAAGCCAAAAATAGTATCTGTTCATGACACTGTTGTCATATATCTATTCCTCTATAATAACGAGGGATACAAAATTCACCATTCATACTACAATAAATGCTATAGTAAATTACGGGAGCATTGGTACTGTATCTCAAACATGAAGGTCCAAGATTCACTATCCATACTACAGTAAATTATTATAGTATTATTATTGTAACACAAGAAAAAACTGTTTACGTTTAAAAACATTACTGTAACAATATTACTGTAGCTCAAGTAGGATACTATAGTATTTAAAAATTGTTGCTGTAGCATTTACTAAAAAACTACATTTAAATACGAAACTATATTTATATACAAAACTACTGTAGTAGAAATAAAAAATAAGTCATTCTTCGCACGGGATGTTCACTAATACTCTACAATAGCAGAAACATGCAGAATTTATAAATGCAAGTCTAAAAATTCCATAGGGCTAGTAACATCGGTTCTGAAACGTACCAACCAAAAAACATCCCCTAGAAAAACCCATTAAACTTGAAGCAGCAATTCAACACGGACATAAAGCTCTGTATAGATTTTCAGAAAACCTCAGTTTAATTACAATCAAGCGACACCGACAAAAAAGAACTCAGCTTAAATAGCTTTACATTTTACATAGCTCATCTATATCGATTACAGAAGCTAATAAATTTAAGCTTAGAAAGTATTGAGCCAAACGGACTACAATGTGAGGTTGTAAGTTGATAAACAGGGCAATAAGCCTTAGGCTTGCTTGTAGAAGAGAACGTAGGCTTGATCATGCAAAACTTTGTTTGTGCCTACAGCAGTAACGGATGCATCATCATATCGAAGCCATCGACCAGCAGAGTATCTTGTATCGGCGGTATAGTGACCTTTGGACGGGTCCTGCCCATGGTGTGTAATGGTTGCAACAAGCTCATATTTTCTTCCCTGCACAACAAGTCAGAACCATTCATTAGTGTTAATATGTAGTTTTTTGGACATGAACCTTTAATTTTGTAGAAAACTTGTGAAATTGTTGCTAATGGTGATAACGGTTTGGATAAAAGGTCTAAACTAACCTTAGACATATGAAAGGGGAAGAGTAATATAGAAGATATAAAAATTATACAAGGGCAAACTGTGCATAACACTATGCAAGCGACACAACAATTAAAAGAAACTTTCATTTAGAGACCTCTTATTATTATCTAACAAAACGCCCAGGTCATCTATTAAGGACCAGCCCACACGCCCACCACTTAATAAATTTAACAATATGCCAAAACCAAAGCCTATAAAATAAATCCACCCCTAGCTGTCAGTCATGATAATTTGGTCAAAAAGTTCATTCTGACGTGAAAAAATTTCTTCAACTTTTGTGCAAAAACCCAAATCCTGATAGTTTAGCTATACAAAGGTCTTACGCGTTTAACACAGTACTCCAAGCTTTTCCAAAATTAAATGTTATTAATAGCAAGATGGATGCTATGAGTACAACAGATGACTGAAACTATAAATACTTGGCAAAAGCATCTAACCACCAGATATTATTTTTGTCTTTACATCGTCTTAGTTATGAGTCTAAGTTATGGTAATATGGTAGACTTAATGTACATGCCACTTTGGCAATTATCCCCAAATAGTCCAGGCATATATCACTCGTCATTTATTCCATCAACACGAGAATGATAAACATGTACACCCAGTTTTTTAAAAGAGAACCAAGACATGCTCAGACAAAAGAAAAAAAAGTACAAACAGGACAAATAAAGCTAAGCCAATCATTACCGGAAAGAAGAGGGTGAACAATAATTGCAGTGAAACTAACCTCTGATAATGGAGATACAAGCAAGTCACGGGCTAGAACCAGTTCAAGAGGGAAGTGGACTGGTTTGTGCAATTTTGTGCTCCCTCTACTTCCATAACTGAACCTCATTAAGTGTAATATCAGTATCTTAGAAAGTGTCTGTATCTGTACTGACTTGCTAGCACTTACGACCCCAGCCTGCACAAAGAAGAGTTTCGTCCATTAAGAGACAACACAAATTTGACATGTAAGGCAGTAAAACAGTCGCTAAATACCAATGTCAAAGGAAATAAATAATTGCATCTATATTTTGCATAATCCAGAACAAGTAGCTTCTTTATCTCAGATATGTGGCTGATACATCTCAAATACATCACAAAGAATACGAAGCAGAAAGGTGTATTCAGCACTTATCAAACAAGGACTAGAATATCAATGTTTCTGAATCAAGGACTAGAATATCAATGTTTCTGATGTAACAGTTACAAATTGAAATGGGGTTACGCTTGTTGTTTCACAGATTCTAAGCCAACAAATTAAAAATGTTTCAGATGACAAATAACATTTTACAGTAAGAACTTCACACCTTTCCAGCTGATGCCCTGTATCCTTCAAGTGCTTCGGGAGCAGAGAAAAGGTGGAGTGCGTCTTCAATAGTATGGACAGCATCAGGTAGAATATCAAGATGAAGCAAGAGGAAGGGCTGAACTGTAGCTGAAGCCTTATTGCCTACAGCAATATAATAATATAAGTAACTCGTATACCAAGGAAGACAGGGTAACTCAGCTACAATATTTCAAATCCAAATCACAAGTACAGTTTAAACATAGTACATCTACTAAGTAACCTTACTAATGAATGATTAAAATGTAACAAGCACACGGTTTTCTTGGTAAGATGACAAAACTGCAAAGTTAATTGTAGAAAATTGGAAAATAGAACAACAGCAGCAGCAACCAAGCCTTTGTCCCAAATGTTTGGGGTCGGCTACATGAATCATATTTTTTCATTCCATTCTATTATGAGTCATCTCCTCCATTAAGTTAGTCTTAATCATATCCTTCTTAATTGCTTCTAATCAAATCATTCTAGGTCTACCTCTAGATCTCCTATCCCCATTAACTCTAATATTATCACTTTTTCTAATTAGTGCACTAAAGGGTCTCCGTTGTACATGACCAAACCATCTTAATCTGTTCTCTCATTTTATCATCGATAGGCGCAACCTCTAATTTACTACGGATGCACTCATTTCTTATCCTATCTTTTAATGTATACCCACAAGACCATTGCAACATGAAAAATGAATCCTAGAAAATTGGAAAATACAATAAAAAATGCAACCAGGAAACATGCAACTTGATTCAATACCTGATTCTTCCAATGCAATGCTTTATTGAAATATCTGGCCTCCTCAAACTAGAATCATTGAACTAAATTTAAGAGGACAAAAGCAAGCAAAAAATTCTCAAACAAATTCCCAAAAGGTAACTGAACCCTTCTCTAGAAATGGAATCAAGTAAGCGAACAATGAATCCTACCAACCAACCCCACTTTCACACAATATGATTACTCTATTCGACCTAAAAGTTAAAAAGAATTCGGATCTCCTCTAATTTTCTAGCAACCTGTATGCTTTAACTGCCCCTTTAACAAGACACCTTAACTTGTTGAAGTAACCATTTCTAAATTGGAATTTACCGACGGTCCAATATATATATTATCTTCAGCAAAGTGATAGCACCCTGAAACTTGCAAACCTCCAGCAAGGCTCAGATTGGGTCATTTACACCCTAAATCTGCACATGAACTGAAGCAACTTCTACTTAGCTAAGCTTTCTCAAGGGTGAACCTGTTGCAGAATAGAATTAGATACAGCTAGTTTTCACTTTTATAATTTTAATTTGATTTCCAAAGACAACACTCATCAAGACCAGTTTTACACCTCCCAATAAAACAAACTACATCAATTTTTTTAGTGTAAATCTGAAAAAAACAACAACAAGGTCATAGACCTTTGTTTCCAGAAAAGGAAAAGATTAAAAAGTTTGGACTACCCTCTACAAACAATGTTAGCTGCTTCATCTACTCCTCTATACTTATAGGAGGATCCAAAGATTCACTATTTATATACTACAATAAATGCCACAGTGAAATACTGTGGCATTATCAATGTAGCACAAAACAGAATGCTGCAGCATTGTTAAAATCACTGTAGCATTTACAGAAAATTAGCACAGCATTTAAAAAAGGATTACTGTAGCAGAAATAATAAATAAGGCCATGCTTTGCACGGGGTGTACACTAGTATCCTCTAAAGGGAAGATCATATTTTACTAAAAATACATGATGCTAAGGAAGAGGGGTCAGAGCCTCTAAAAGCTACTATAATTTCAGAACTGCCTACCTTTGACAAACTGTTGCATGACAGCAGTTGGCAAGATTTAATAGTCAAGTATATTAAGTACTTAATGATTAAACACTGTTACAATGAATTTGCATAACACCAAAGGATACTTGCTTGTCCTAAAAGTTAGCAACTCACACATGACATGAACAGCTCATGCAACTTCATATGGCAATGGTAGAGAAGTGAAGAGATGTAAAATAAATCACTTCCGAACGCAAACGATTTTGATTTGGAAAACTTAAAGCTCTATACACAAGTGACATAAAAGGAAAAGGAGAATCTAGCACCTAAGTTGCATGGAAACGGGTACGGGTACTGGTGCGGGTGCGGGTACGGGACACGGCAAAACTATAAAATGTAGGGTACGGGGACACGACTACATATATATATTGAATTAATACGGTACATAAGATAAAAAATTTCCCCTTCATGTGTCATTAGAATTAAAATTCCGATCACATTTTTGAGTTTCTTTTATCATATTGATTATCGTGAATTGTAAACTACTCATTTTTTTTACTAGACATCTAAACGACCCATTAACTATATAGTTTTGAACTTGGGTATAGACTGAAACGAATCTGACCCGTATCTCATTAGTTTCAAATGATGGATGTGAAGTGTAAGCTCTACGTCCAGGAAGTCTTTGACAAGTGTTTTAATTAACACATATATCATATAATTAATTACATATTGTAATAAATGCATGCATATATTCAAGAAGTGTCCATGAAGTTTGGGTACGGGAAAGTGTCGGGTACGTGTCCGGTACGGGTACGGCTTCATTATAGAAGTACCCGGGTAACATAGTCTAGCACTAACTGCATTACAATAGCAAACGTAAATTACCTCTTGCCTTCACAACACTCCTAAGTTGACCCCCAAAAATTGCACTAAGTTCAGATGGAATAAAGCTCTGAGTCCTGGTCACTGCAGTTTTGTTTTTCGGTCCAACAGTTTCCCAACCATCATCATCTTCAGTAGATGAAACTAGAGGCAACCTCTCCTCATTTGAACTTGAGAAATCGCCTCCGAGCTTTAGCAATTCATCATGCATCCGGTCCATTACAAAGCTAAGAAATTCCTGGGCATCTTCTTGCCTGAGAATGATACACGATTCAGCAGAAAGATTTAGATATATACAAGTATACTAAGAAAAGAGAAGTTATTGGAAACTACAGACTTTTTAAAATAATCCTTAATATACATAGTTGTCTGAGAATGAAATGTGATCTTGAAAATTATCGTTTTAGATACAATAATGCTTCATATCTAGGGCTTGAAAATAATCCTTAATATACATAGTTGTCTGAGAATGAAATGTGATCTTGAAAATTATCGTTTTAGATACAATAATGCTTCATATCTAGGGCTTGGATCCAAAATGGTTATGCGCAAACAGACCAAGGCCAAACTTACACGTAGATATTGAATATATGTAGAATTAGGGTCATGCATAAGAGAATTTATGGAATCTAACAAGCTATAAGTTAAAATGAGGATAACCAATATAAATAAATCTACAAGTAAGACCATGCATGAGGTAACTTATGGAATCTAACAAGCTGTAAAGTTCAAATGAGAACAGCAGATGATATATGTTTCCCTAAAGCGCATAAAAGTAAATGGAAAATAGAACATGAGATAAATTTCAACTGACTTAATTGATTCCAATCAGAACATGATGGAGGGAAACTTATTGAAAAATATAATTAACACTTGCAATAAAGGATAAAATGTTTCTCGGATCCGTGAAACTTCCACAACAATATTCCTAACCAGTTCCATAATCAAACTTTCATCAATATCGTCTAATATATCACATCAACTAAGAGAAGAATAACATTAACCTAGCCGAACCATATTGCCTAGCTCCCAAGAGCAACATCAAAATCATGTTACCTCCCATTGCCTTTCAACTCCATCAATTATGTACCGTATATATGGAAATACTTCTATATAACATGAATCAAGTTATGAAAGCATGCAGTCCACCAAAAGATTGAAACTGAAGCAACCTTTGTTTTGATAACTTCAGCAGCACTTGCAAATGCGCAATTATTAACATGCCCATCTAGTACAGCTGTACACAAGGAAATCCACTCTAATGGTTCCATAATTCAAAAGAAGATGTTGATGAAATTGCACATATTATTCTATATCTTTCTGCAACAGAAGAATCTCTTGATCAAAGTAAAATAATCAATACTTACACAACAACTCAAATAAAAACATATGGAAAACTTTTTCTGCTTGCAACTATTTAGCAACCAGAAAGAAGTCAAATTCAATAATAAATGTAACAAGGCATAAAAGCAGTTTTCTCTAGCAACTTTCAGACCTGAATACATTTCATAGATTAGGAAGACGCGTTAACAAGAAAAATGCAACATAGAAGCACAAACCTGGGTCTGCCTGATAAGCTATTTGGGAGATCAGGAGTAAACATTTTCAAGACATCCTCAAACATAATGGGACTAAAAGGCTTCCCTGACTCAATAATAACCTTCTCGTGCTTCTTTTCCTTGGAATCACCAGGTATTCCAAAGTCAGATATAAATTGAGCAAATGCAAGTAAAGTTGGATATCCGACCTAATCACAAATCAGTATCAACAATAAGAATCAGACAAATAACAAAAAGAAAAATGAATCTTCAAGAACACTACGCTGTTAGAACCTTAGGAACATTTCGGTTTGCCAGATCCTGCAAAAGCTGAACAAATGGCGAACAGGAGAGCAGTGCCTGTAATGTGGCGTTAAGGAAGCAAAGATTTCCCAAATTTATTAAGCCCCTAGGGAGGAGGCTTCTGGCTGGTGATGTTTGCTCATCTAGCTTCTTATGAGCATCCTCTGCAAGTTTCACAACTGAGGATGTATCAACAACCTTATCATTTTTCAATCCTTCATAACCATTATCATTGACAAAAGCAGGTTTAACAGTATGCGTTTGCTCTGCTACAGGAGTTACAGAACTGCCAGGTCCAATTTGACGTATGTGCGTTGACCTCAAATGCAAAGTATCCGTTCCATTGCCAGAGATTCCAGAGGCAGAAGAATATCCATTGGAGGTTCCATTTGCTTGAATCGTGGTACCTTTTTCTATATTATTTCCTACTGGCGATTTTTTGTTCGTCAAAGATGTGTTCTTTGCAATCAAATTTGGTGGTTTAATGTTTCTTGATGTAATAACAGGAGATGTCTGCTGGGTCTTAGTGTGGAGGCCTTCAACTGAACTTAAAGAATCAGCTTTTAAAGATCCAAACTGCAGATCTATCTTCTGAGAAGCTTGTTGTAGTCCGTTTTTTTCTGAAGGGGGTTTACGACTTTTCTGAGCTGACTGACTCTGGAACAATTTAGTTTCATCTTCAGTGAAAGATCCAAATATAAAAACCTGGAAAAGGGAACACAATCGAGAAAATTAACAATACATGAAAAGTGGCAACACCAGAGAATTCTTCATCACAGTGATGATCAAAAAGAAAATTTTAATACTAATCAAACATTACATCTAAGAGTTATAACTGGAGGGAAGCAAAAACAACAAAATAAGTATAGTAATATCTATTCAGAATGCAATCAGAATATAGTTTACGGGGATAGAAGCATATGAATCACAATTTAAATTAAAATCACCACGTCAATGCATTAAAAGTTACCCAACCAGAAATTACTGAAAATAATTATAGCATAAGGACATTATGTATTAGAGACCCATTTATCTCAAAAGGTAACTACAAACAAAACATGCATGAACATCTGATTGACATTTGCAACACGCATCAAACTCACCATTGCCAAATGAATTATACCAGAGTACAATAAAGTGCCACGCATCAGTCCTAGTTGCCATAGTTCCCAGCTTGTATGCCACTTAACTAATGTTTCTCTAGACATCAACAGTCATAGCACTAACCTTCACATTGCCCACGGAAGAGGAAACATACTTGAACAAGTATGGCAGTGAACTAATAACAGCTAAGAAAACCAACTTGTACGGCCAGATATTTTCACAACATGTCAGAAGAGATGGAAAATTCCTCAACTGACTCTTGTCCTCTAAATCTGCCCACATTCGGTCCTATAATTTGCAACAACCTCCAAAGGACACTAGCTCTTCCCTTAATACATGAAGCAATAAGAATAAACTGACAAATATCCAAAGACTGTTAAAAGGCAAAGAATCTCAAATCTCTTTACACATCTCATTATTATCCCAAAAAAAACAAAAAAAAGGAAAAGAAAGAAAAAGAAAGGAAAAAAAAGAAAGAAAAAAAAGAAAAAAAAAGAAAAAAAAGTTGCATATTGCTATTAGAAACCTAAACCAAGGTTCAATTTTCCATCCTCCAGTCATCTAATGCACCACAAGCCACATAACCTCAACAAAAAAGATGAGTTTAGGGGAAATATACCCCGCGAACATTTACCTCTGCACAAAACTCTAGTGACAATACATGAACATGGAATAATTCCAAACCTGCCTACATTTGGTTGGTGCTATAATTTGCACAAAAACCCGACAAAAAGACACTAACATAATACATGATACAACAGGAACAAACCAAGTCAATACTTAGAAAAAGCCAGTAACACTAAATTCTGACATTATACAATCTCATATTAGCAAAAATTAAAAAATTAAAAAAGTAAAAAAAAATCAATTTGCGGTTATTAGAATTTAAGCGAAGGTACAATCTTTCCACCATCTGGTCATCTAATGCACCCTAAACCCAAATAACCGAACGAAAAAGTAGGGTTTTGGACGTCTGAACAAACATAACACATAAATCAGTAAGAACAAACCAAATCAAATGTATGAAGACTGTTAAAATTACAACACCATTACATCTCTTAAATTAATAATCTCATATTACCCAAAAGATTAAGCTTTTATACTGTCAGTAGAAACCTAAGCCAATGTTCAATCTAGTACACCACAAAGATTAGGGTTTTGGAGGGAAACACACCTGTTGATCGCTCATTGTGACCGGAAAACCCTAGAAACGAGAGCAACGCATGGAGTAAAGATCTGATTGTTCTGCCGGAACGAGAGAGGGGCGAGCGGCGTCGAGAACCAGCAATTGGAGGTGGAGCGGGAAGAAGACATGAAAAGGGCAGAGGAACCTAGGGTTAGGGTTGGGCTTTCGATGACGAAGAAGGCGGCGGCGTGGTCGAAGAAGAAAGCTACAGGGGAAAAAAGCGTGTGATTTTGGGAAGTGGTGAAGGTGAGAGGGTTTTTTATATTTTGGGGAAAAAAGTCCTTTTCCCAATAGGAAAGAACGAGTGTGCTTTGGTTGCACAAATTTATAGATTTTTTTTTAAATATCAGATAATGGTAATTCTATAATTAAAAATTTCTATAGATTTCTGTAAAATGTTTTTGGTTCAAAAAAAATTTACAGAAATGCTTTTTGTAATATATAAAAAATATCAAAATTTACTGAAATTAATTTCCTCTCAAAATGAGCAGAAATCACCCAGAAATCTGAAACCACATTAATAATTTTTTATAAAATTGACATTTTTCTATAAATTTAGAGGGTGTTTAGTTTAATTTCTATAAATTATAGAAAATCTTGCTATTTTCTATAAAGTTATAGGCAATTTTCTTGTTTTGAACCAAACAAGCAAAGTAAACAAAACATGAAAATTGGTACTTTTTGACTTCTCAAAACTTTTCCTATAATTTTTTAAGAAATACAAGGAAATCATAGTTTGGGTGGAACACATTACCTATAATTTGTAGAAATTGAATATGACACTCCCTAAGTGCAAAGGACAGTCCCCTTTTTTATTGTGTTTTAAACTTCTTTTTTTCTAAGTTTTAACACATTTGATTTAATTATTTTATGTTTAAAAATTAGAAATCATATCTACTCCTCTATACTTGAACGGAGAATCCACATTTTCATATATTTAATTTACTTTACTGTTTATAATATAGTAAAATATTGTAGAATGAATAGTAGCTTCAAATGATTTATTATTCATACTACAGTAAATTAGATTTACTGTTTATGATACAGTAATTTACTGTAATATTTACTATGGCATGAACTGTAATTTTTTGGATCCTCCTATAAATATAGAAAGTAGATTAAGGATATTAACGTCTAATTTAAAGGTTAATTTCATAAAACCCTGAACTTTGTTGTGAGTCACATAACTTGTGTATGATTGTTCATGTTCATACTATTATATGTTATTTTATATCTGTTGGAAATTGAGGTTAAATCTGGAATTAAACAGTGAAGAATGATGTGCTGTAATTTTAAACTTTTTAAGTTAACTACTGTGCGTTTGTGAAACGCTGTGCTTAAAGCAATATTTGGCCTACTCCGGTGCAAGGATCCCAAGGCCAAACTACTTCCGGAAACAGCGATACAGTACTCTGGTGTGCACCAACCCAGTATTGTCAACATCTTTTCGATCTATAAGACCTTTCGATCAAGGCAAAAGATCTCCTCGATCTTAGAACCTTTCGGTTCAAAACCTTTCGGTTTCAGGGTACCCGCGGGCACAGTTCTGCAGCAACAGCAGAACAACAGAAACAACAACGTCGATCGGACGTTCGTTTTCCAAGCTCGCATGTGTATTCTGACGTTCGTATTCTATACCGACGTTCGTATTCCACGCTCGCGAGAGAGTTTCCAGCAATAACCAAGAGCTGCCCAAGGGCGCTATTTATAGGCCTCTAAGGTCAGCTCAAGAGTCACTAGCAATTAATGTGACTGTTACAATTCTCAATGACAATTAAGATTATAACATCAATGCATTAAATTGCTCTAAATGCTGTTGTAACTGCTACATATAGTAACTCCTGAATACGAGGCAATCAATGGACGTGTTGCTACGAAACGCGAGGGTCATGTCTCATCAAATCAGACGAACCTCGTTTGACAAATGAACGTCGTCAAACAGGCGAACCTCATATGACAGACGAACCTCGTCGAATGAGCGAACATAGTCAAACATGCGAACCTCGTATGACAGACGAACCTCGTCGATCGAGCGAACCTCGTCAAACAGGCGAACCTCGTATGACAGACGAACCTCGTCAAACAAGCGAATCTCGTATGACAGACGAACCTCGTCGAACGAACGAACATCGTCAAACAGGTGAACCTCGTATGACAGATGAACCTCGTCGAACGAGCAAACCTTGTCAAATTACGAGAATGCTAGGGTCACCCTCGTACGAATACGTAGCTCGTCCGCATGCTGCGAAGCAGCCTACGAGGCAACCTCCGTGGCGACCATAGTGGCAGCCAACGTGACGCCAAACAGCCCTGATGCCTCCGTGCGAAGTGCAAAGTGCGCCTAACAAAACGCCACTTAACGCCTTAGCCAGATTAGCCCTGATTCCCGACCCATTGGCCCACGGCCCACGGCCCATGGCCCACGACCCACGACCCACGACCCATGACCCACTAGAACTTATGAGGGATTAATTCAAATAAAACACTTCTCAGCTTGCCGTTGGCAAGCCTTGAATAAGGGATCTTTTGAAACACCAAAACATAAACTTTCCACTAGGCTACTAAGCATTTATGAAAAATACTTATAGTTAATATATATATAGTTTAAAAACACATTTTGGAAAGCAGTTTTGACCAAAAAATCCAACAATCCCCCACAAATTTTTAAACTAGTATCGTGTTATGGTGTCGTTGTTTCAATCATTGTGCATAAGGTAGATGTCACAAGGACTTGAACCTCCCTTAGACCAACTGAATAGAAGATAGATGTATGGTGTCGCAGAGACTTAAACCAGCACATATCTAAAATCCAGCGATCACACAAGATCAAACTCATTTGTGGTAGTTTTCACTTTGAACCACACTTGTCTTTACCTTTGCACATTTATAGCCGTGTGCTTGTCCTGGTTTCTGCTAGGGCTCTAGGCATCTTTCCACATGACACTATATGAGACGACCAAATCTCCACCCAGATATAGGTGAGTTTTTTTAGGCATGTTTCCTATCAAATATCCCGCATCCGAAATACTTTGAACTCATTAAGACTTAAGAGCCATCCTCTCTCATGATAGGATCCTAGGTGAGTCCTTTAGGAGTGTTTCCTATCTAGCACCCAGCATCCAAAATACTTTGGACCCATTAAGGCTTAACAGCCAACCCTTTACATGATAGGATTTCACTTATAAATCTTACTTGACTTTTGAACCAATCATCTTGTCATTAGTAGCGTAAGCTTTAAACTAATAACTTGACAAAATGGTAAGTGTTTGTAAGACTCACCAAACTTTACAAATCTTACTTGATTTGAATCAGTTATCTTTATTATTAGTAGCGTAAGCTTTGAACTAATAATTGGATGAACATGGTAAGTATTTGTAAGACTCACAAAACTTTGAGACCCATTGCAGCAGACGTCCTTTCGACTATTTGTAAGACTCACAAAACTTTGAGACCCATTGCAGCAGACGTCCTTTCGACTATGTCCTTTTTCAGATCTTTAGTCAAACGATCAGTCATATTCTCTGAAGATCGAACATTAATCACCGAGATGACTCATTGTCAAATGAGTTCTCTCAAATAGCCATGCTTCAGACGAATGGTCCGCTTCTTTCCATTGAACAATGAGTTCACTGCTACAGCACCCGTTGCCTGATTATCACAATAGATTGTAATTACGCCTTGCAATTCTGTCAATGAAAGGTCTCAAAGAACACAACTAAACTACTGAGCTTCATCTCCTACAGCACAAAGTGCGAAGAACTCAGATTCCATCGATGACTATGCAATCATAGTTTGCTTCTTAGATTTTCACGAGATGGAAGCTCCACCCATGGTGAAGACAAAACCTCCAGTTGATCTGCACTCATCTGGTTCTGAGCACCTGCTCGCATCTGAATAGCCTTCGATTACAGCCGGATATCCAGTGTAGAATAGGCCCAGACCTATAGTTTCTTTTAAGTATCTCATTAATCTTTGGACAGCATTGTAGGCGTTAAAAAATGCTGAAAGATATCCAAATACAGCTCAGAAGGAGATCATCCAAAATGTCAAAAAGAACACAAGTATAGACTATCTCGCCGTGCGAGACAGTCTTTACTGTCTCGCGGGCGAGACAGACTTTTACTATGCTGAAAGATATCCAAATACAGCTCAAGAGGAAATCATCCAAAAAGGCAGAAGAACATAAGTCTTTACTGTCTCGCACGCGAGACATTATTTACTGTCTCGCTGTGCGAGACAGTCTTTACTGTCTCGCCGTGAGAGACAGACTTTACTGTCTCACACGTGAGACAGCTCTCAGATGGTCAGAAACCACCTTGAACAACTGCCACAAACGTCCATTAATTGCTAAAGAACATGGGGAACGTCGTGGGCGAGAATCGCGTGGATAACTGCCAAAATAACGGAGTTTGAAACGTGGGAAGGCAGTTAAAACGAAAACTGTCTGACGGTTACTGTTTCCGAGACAGCGTTTACTGTCTCACGGGCCGAGACAGCAAACACTGTCTCGCGAGCTTGTTTTCCACCAACTGTTCATAAGGGTTATATATACCCCCCGAAGGCCATTTTTGAGGGGGGCTGATCATTTAGAGCACTTCAGAGCAGACAGAGCAGAGTTCTTGAGCTTCCGGCAATCCCTTGAGATTCGAGCTTTGACTTGATTTCAAGAAGAACGACTATCTTACTTTGATAAGATATCGTTTCAAATTCTCACTTCGATAAACGAAGGAAGAATCATTACCTGCGTTTGTTTCCCAAGAGTTGTAATTTTTATTTTGTTGTGTAAAAGAAGTCTTATAAAAAAGCTATCTCCTTTTGAATTTATTGTAATCGACTGAAGATATAATGAATTCCACGACAAAACCAACTTTTGACGCAAACAAATTGGCGACCACAGTGGGAGCTAACGGTCTCGCTGCCGAGACCGTCGTGTCGCAGCCGATCAAGATACTGGTTGAGTCCATGGTTGAATACGAATTTGACCAAACCAAGTTTGAGGAATATCTCTCATCATCCTCTTCAAGATCTTCATTGTCTCGCAAGTACAAGAGGATCTCACAATTGAGGAAAACTTATATGCCAAAGAAGGCACAAAATGAAGACTTTCATCTGATTGTTGCTGAGGATTTTACTCGCAACACCTCTGCTCATAATGACTCTTATCTAGTTAAAGAGTCATCAAATCAAAGCCCAACGGCACTGACGAAAAGAGCTCGCAGAGACAACGCCAACGCTGCGCTCGTCAAATAGCTAAGGCCTTGGAACAAACCGACGGAGTTCGT